TTTTTGGGTACCTCCCAGATTTACCATACGTGATCTCTTGCATGAACCCCGCGGTGATGACAATGCGTTCCTCACCGACGAGTCCGCGTCTATATCCTGCTGTCCAGGCATACTCTATCGCCGAGGACCCCTCGCCGGCCAAACTGCAAAGGTGGGTTCGTCAGCTCTTGCATGAACCCCGTGACGCGTTGGGTTCTGCGGCCTGTGGGGCCGCAGGGCGCTGCCCATGGTCTCGGGTACATTCAAGTGCCACAAGTGTCGGCGCCCGGACTTCTGCTGAGTCGATCGGTTTCTCCCGGCGACCCAACCCATTACCACCAAAGCAGGTACCCAAAAAGTCGACTCAGCGCCCGGACTTGTGCTGAATCGATCGGTTTCTCGCGATGACCCAACCCATCCTCACCAAAGCAGGTACCCAAAAAGTCGACTTTTTGGGTACCTCCCAGATTTACCATCGGACGTCATCGCTTGCATGAACCCCGTGATGCTGAACCCTTCTCCCCATAAAGGATATCATTGCCTAAGAGTTCAGACCCATCACCACCACAGCAGGTACCCAAAAAGTCGACCAGATAGAGTTACCATGCGGGATCTCTTGCATGAACGCAGGTACCCAAACAGTCGACTTTTTGGGTACCTCCCAGATTTACCATACGTGATCTCTTGCATGAACCCCGCGGTGATGACGATGCGAGCCCAGGACCATTTTGGACCGTGCTTATTTTCCCGCGCGGGTCGAGACAAGAGGACATGCAAGAAAATGTTTGGAAAAGCACCCTCCCGAATAAACAAAGCCTAGAGCATTCCTAACATCTAGTCGAAAACGTCACAAAATCTAAGTGCGGCCAAGAGTATTCCTAGGAAAAATCAAGGGCATTGGCCGGGAACTAGCAAAAGGTTACTAATTTTGAGGGGAAATCTGGGATGCTACAAAAGCCTTTGAAAGTTCCATAGGTTAGCAAAAGGTTACCAATTTTTGGGAGAAATCTGGGAACCTAAAAACCAGAAGAAACGCTAGCCGAAAACATAACAAAATCTAGACAAAGCCTACAGCATTCCTAGGAAAATGCCAGAAAAGCCTTTGAAAATCTCATAAACCAACAGAAAACGTGACAAAATCTACGAAAAAGCAAGGGCATTGGCCGGGACCATGCCGCGACCAGCCCGGGATTCGAGCCCAGGACCATTTTGGACCGTGCTTATTTTCCCGCGCGGGTCGAGAGGGTGCCCCAAGATGTAAATCAATTGGGATGGCAGAATCTTGGACAATTCCCGGGTCGCTCAGGTAGCTTTCAGGGCACAATTTCGTAACTCCGACAAGGGTCCGGAGGGGTAGGGGAGGTAAGGTCTAGGTCTAAGGCTAAGGACTAGGTCTAAGGCTAAGGACTAAGGCTAAGGCTAAGGCCTAAGGCTAACATCGACAGTCACGCCTCACCCCACGGTGTGGGGTCGGCGGATAACCGTTTTGAGGCAAGCGGCACTTAGGGCAAAGCATGGCAAACCCATTGGAAGCCCAATCAAAGTTGAAGTTGCTGGGCAAGGTTCTGAAGTGACTCAGGGTCATGTGCCCACTCCCACGAATCTACGGAAAGCAAAAGTGTTTGTCACTCTAGCCATATCATGCCATACGTGATCACTTATGTGCCCCATGCCAAAAAATGCTTGACGGTGGTATCCCACAATCATGGTGAGCCAACCCCAAGAATCGTCAACAGACCATACTGCAGCAAGAAAAGGAATACCGCTATCAGACCATCTGAAGATGTGACACGGGGTTAACACAGCTTGTGACATCGACTTCCACCAACTTCCGCCAGGTTAAGCAGGACATCGGACTCATATGATTCATATGTTATGAATGAACCTTTAAGAGTGATGCCCATGTGCTGCCCTCTTACATGCCCTGAGAAGGTGTCATATGTTGACCATAAGGTAACTCATATGATCATAAGCATTCATATGCAAGGTTTCCCTCGTTCCTCTCTTTCCGCTCCAAGGCTGAACCTCATGGGGCAGTGTGACAGCTGGGGCCCAAGGGCCAGAGGGCCGTTTGGCACGTGGCTTCCGCCGTGCTTCGGAAGCCACGGTGGCAACGGGTGCCAACGTGAATTCCTCATTGGAGGCCAACGTGAAATATCGTGAATTCCTCATTGGAGGCCATGTTCCGACGGTCTCTGTGTGATGGTCAAGAATGAGGTAAGGTAGACATACTTCAGGAGGCAAATTTGGTAACAGCTTCCCTCCAGAATCTCATTCACATGACTGACTTCTCTTTCCCAATGAAGTTCCGGTGGAGTAATTTCCACCCCGAACTAAACTACGATGCTATAAACTCACTTCGGAGTGGAATCTGCCCCGGAATTCCACTGTGATCCCCCGATGGGAATCTACTGGAAAAGGGTTGCAGGTCTGGTGACCGACTTTTGTCCTGTTTGTGTCGCAAAGGACGCCCACCATGGCCAACCAGCCTCGGGACCTGAGGGACTTCTGATGACTAACCACCCAACAAAAATGGTTCGTGCCTATCAAATCAGGGGCCCTTGGGTCCTAGGTAGATAGTGGATGGCATGGACCTCGCAGAAGACCATTTCCCCTTCCCGGTACCAAGGGCACCAAAAGAACTTCATCAAAGGGCTGGACATGGAATACGCCTTGAAGCCTGGAATCGGAGGACAATGTCAAACAGCTTCCCACTCCCTGTGTGAACTGGAGGTTGAACTATGTTGAACACACATCAACTCACTACTTG